CTCACAAGAAAATGCCCAGCAATAGCGGTAGTACTCTGGAGGTAAATGAGACTCTTTTCCAGTAGATCAAGACTAGTTATTGTTTTAATATGTGTGGGACTCTTTAAATCTTTCTTGTTGGTGAGTTACAGCTTCTTGAATTTCGACCCAAGTAAACTGTAGGTAGTCTAAAGGTCCTAAACTCTCTCAAATCACTCAATTTATATCTAGGCAACAGTATTTGTGCCATTATAATGTCATATAGCACTTATAAGAAGAGAAAAATCTGAAACTTCCTTCTTGTTGCAGCTAGGGCTTGCTGCCATCAAATAATTAATTAATAGTTGATGATGCCAGGCCACACCTCCAATTTGGGAGTAGCTGGAGTAGCTTGCATGCTGCTACTTCTGCAGGTAGTCTGGTAGATCAATACAAGCTTGCTGCTATCCCTCAGGAGTACACTTTTTTATGTATATATGCAATTTGCATGCTAAAGTTCTTTTAATTTTGATAATCAAACAGCTATAGGGGCGAGGCCACGCACCGTAGGTGTCTCGTTTAGACCTTGTGATGCTTTGATGTACAAAATTTGACACTCTTACTGCTTTGATCTTGAAGTTAATTTTAAAAGGTTTGGTCCTAGATCTTGACGTTTACTACAGTAAGTCTTAGATGTATGTGTTCATTTAACTGCAATTGACCTTTTTGATTTTGATTTGATCACAGTCACAGATTTGCAGGTAAAACAACAGGCTTTATTGGTATAAAAAATGACACCAAAATAATTAAAAACTAGAAATTTGTTTTAAATAGACTATACAAAAATAATTTATTAGTAAATTACATAGTTATTTTGGTTGTTACTTAACATTTTCTTACTTTTGGCATCTTAGTGATTAATAACTCAGTAATTTCAGATCTAGATAGCTCAGGATTGATACAATACTACATAAAAGTAATAAGCAAAACATTCTCATAGCATTTAGTAAACAATACAATAATGCTGTTAAGAGGTGAATCAACTTCAAAATTTGATTGTTGACCTCTAAAATACTTACTTTCTCACAAGCAGCAGTCACATCAGCTTGGCCTTTAGCAATCAATGATTTGATAATTTCAGTTGATCTACCTTCTTCAATTGCTAGTAACAGAGGAGTGTTACCATACTAGATAAATAAATAATAATAAAACTTGATACAATGTGAGGTTATAGTTAACCAGCTACTAAAAACAACAATAGTTAAAAAAATCTCTTTCGCAAAATTACTGTTAAGCTGAACTTTACTTTATAAGAATCACATTTTAGATAACAAGAAATGTAACATTAAAACTACATGTATATAATGGACAATTTGAGATGAAGTATGTGCTGGGCTAAAATATGCTGGGAGATTATACTTAATACCCATGTAGCTCCAAATTTTTGTCAGTCAAAAATTTTATCAAAATCTTAACTTCTTGTTAAAATTAATTTTTGTCAATAAAATTGTGAGTTATAAATCCACATATTACCCACGTGGAACAAAAACTAGTCAGATGATATTTTTTACCTTTGGAGCCATACGGTATACATGTGGGAGAGTCAGTAATAGTTAATAGTGTAAAAGTACATGTATAAAGTACAAAGTATTACATAGGCAAAATGCATGTACATGGCAAGTTGGCAACCTTACTTTATCCACAACATCAGTTCTAGCTCCATTAGTTAATAGAGTATTTACAATTTCACTTCTCCGTTTAACAGCATGAAACAATGGAGTTCTGTTCTCCTATATAATACAACACAAAATGATACAATTAGAAATGAGTATTTAGTAGTAACTCTACCTCATCCACAGCATTCACATCAGCATTTCCTTTAGTTATTAATAATTTGACAATATCAGCTTTACCAAAACGACAAGCATTGTGTAATGGAGTTTCATTATACTATAAAAGTAAATTTTTGTATATTTTACACACGTAAATAACTAAATATAGTGCTTCTTCAAGGATAAAAAATTTATGGATTTTTTTAAACACTCATAAAATTAAATTACGTGGAATAATGGTACAAGATGGCTAAAATAATGGAAATTTGCAAAAATTAATTTGATGAATTTTTGGTTTGTATCCTTGAAAAAACTGCTACACAGTAGTGTGTATTATTACATGTACATGCAATCATGCATGTATAT